GTAATTAAAGAATCTGACTCACTGACCTACTTTCTTGGCCACCGAAACAGGAAGGACTGCATTTCCTAGTGTTCTGCTCCATCTAGTGGCAAACATGGTACATGGCTCAATTTTCCGTTACAGGGAAATTATCGGGAATTCTACAATAGGTTTTCACGTCTTAAACACAAACACATCCAACTTCTCACTATTGAGGAGAAATGATCCAACATACACATTTTTAATGCTGTTTGTTATACTTGAAACAATAGGCTTAGGATTCTTACAAATGTACCATACTAATGCAAGATGAGAGTGGGGAAACTGGGGGGCGGGGAGGAAGGGTCTGTGAGAACGCTGTATTTTCAGCTCAATTTTCTGTAAACACAAAACAGTTCTAAAAAATAAATCCAATTGATTTAAAAATAAAATAGGCTTAGGATGCTTGTTGCTGCTTGGAAAGTTGGAGAGTTTCCGATTTGGAACAGGAAGACCAGAGTCATCTTTGATGCTTCTGTTGGTGAAAAAATTAGTCAATAATCTAAGAAAGAAATAGAAAACCTTATTCGAGTCAACCTGAGGATTATAAGCCAGGAGACAGTCTTTCAGGAAGCTCTGAGGACTGTTCTCCTGTTAGAGGTTAAAGCACAGTTATAGAAGTTTTTGAGACAAAGGGTTATACATCAAAGTGACATCATGAATGTTTAAATAGTCCAACAAGGTAGGCAGCGGCTTCTTGTGACCTCTTATAGGATTCAGAAAGGAATGTCATCTCCTAAGGAGTTACCTTGCTGGTGCCAGGAGGAAACTGCTTTTTTTTTTTTTTTGGTGAGGAGGCATTCCTGTGTCTTCCAGTTAATGCATAATGCAGGTGCACAATACCCACTAAAGGGGAGGGGGAGTGGTTCAAATGGCAGAGAAAATTTTATGTTAAATTTTCCTTTTCTTGCCTTAAAATAATTTTATTTCATCACTTCCCTCATGTGATGTATCCATTATGTCATCAAACACTAAAAAATTAATTTCTCAAGACATTAGCCAGTGCCGGGGAGGAAGACATTTTCCTCTACCCTTCTAGGTTTTTCTGGCTGGTCTAAGAATTAAATTGGCACGAGACAGATTAACAGGAGACAATCAAACAAAGTTTAATAACAGATCTACAAGGGAGGGACCCAGGAAAACTGAGTAACTCACCAAAATGGCCCAAACCAGTAATAAACCTTAACACCATCTTCAGCTAAAGACAAGAGATGTTGGGGGTAGTGGTTTGAGACTAGAGAGGGGAGAAAGGCAATTGACTTGAAGATTAAAAAAAGCAAATATTTGGTAAATAAATGCTCGCCCGGGCCATGGAGAGATAATGGGACACAGAGGGGACCTGATCTCTAGAGAGTTTTCCTCACCACATATAGCCCATACCCTTTGTGGATATCTCTGGAGATGGCTCTGTTAGGGAACAGGCTTTCTACCTAAATTCTTTTTTAGACAGTTAGGGGGAAGTTCAAAGTTTCTTCCTGAGTTTTTCAGGCCCTCATTGTTTTCAGCTTGAAGTAACCCATATGCCAAAGAGACATTTTGGGGTGGCAAACTTTGTTCCTCTACACCAGCCACATGTACTTATTTAATCCTTCCTTTGGGACCGTCCGATTAGTGAAGAAAGGTGTTGGACATTACTCCAGACCCTGTAGTTTGGGCATCTCGGAGAGGAATGCCTATGGGTGCACTCAGAAGGCCTGAGCTGTAGGGTTTCCAGTCTCACAAAAGATCCCCTTTCCCCACAATGTGGCCGAGGAGCAATAGAGACCCCCTGGGGCCATGGGAATCATGCCAAGGATCAGTGTCAGCCAAGGGAACAGAGGGTCAGTGACAAGAGACCAGCCTTTCGGGGCTTCCTTGGTGGCACAGTGGTTAAGAATCCGCCTGCTGATGCAGGGGACACGGGTTCGAGCCCTGGTCCGGGAAGATCCCACATGTCGCGGAGCAACTAAGCCAGTGCGCCACAACTACTGAGCCCACGTGCCACAACTACTGAAGACCGTGCACCTAGAGCCCCGCAACAAGAGAAGCCACTGCAATGAGAAGCCCGGGCACCGCAACGAAGAGTAGCGCCGGCTCACCGCAACTAGAGAAAGCCTGCGCACAGCAATGAAGACGCGACCGAACACAGCCATAAGTAAATAAATAAAAAACAAAACAAACAAAAAAAGAGACCAGCCTTTCCCTTCACCTCTTTCTTAGAGATGTGTTGTCAGAGGCCCTGAAACCAAGATATAATTCCAGGCACAGAAGTGGGGTCAGGAAGCCCCAAGAATGCCAGAGCTAGCACTTCTCACTAAAGGGTAGCAGAGTATGCTACCCCCAAATATGTCTCTTTGGTATAAAGATTATTTTGAGCGAATTATTTTTTTGAGAAAAGGCAGACACAGGAGAAGCTCTGAAAACAGAGTAGAAGTTACCCTTCTGTCAGGGAAACATATTTATAAAGGAAATCTCCATTTGTGAGGGTGTCTCCTTCTCAGTACCAGGAAGAGAGGGATGACTCTAAAATCACGTGAAACTTATCAGTGAAGAAAGCAGAGACTTAAATCTTCATAACAAACCTTACCTTTTTATTTTTTTTAATTTTTTTTTATTGCGGTACGCGGGCCTCCCATTGCTGCGGCCTCTCCCATCGCGGAGCACAGGCTCCGGACGCGCAGGCCCAGTGTCCGTGGCCCACGGGCCCAGCTGCTCCGCGGCACGCGGGATCTTCCCGGACCGGGGCATGAACCCGTGACCCCTGCATCGGCAGGTGGACTCCCAACCACTGCACCACCAGGGAAGCCCCAAACCTTACCTTTCACTGTGCTTTTCCTGGTAACTTCCCATAACTGGTCTCTCTGTTCCCCCAACATCTTTCTTTTGTCTTTGGCTAAAGATATTAGTATTTAAGGTGCTAGCCATCTCAGCTTCCCTGGGTATCTCGCATCCGCACATGAGGTATACATGTTAATAAACTTATGTTCATTTTTCTCCTCTTTGTCTTTTATCACAGGAGGTCTCAGCCGAGAAGGGTAGAGGGAACATTATTTTTCCTCCTCTAAACGACTGATTTAGCAAGAAGGAATTCAGAATCAGGATTGAGTTGATTTATAGAAAATACATGTGATATCCTTGCACACAGGTTTGTGGCCTGTTCAGAGTTGGGCATATATTTGCACCCCTGGAACTGGAGTCTTTCATGTTGAGACTTTGTTGGGGAATTGATTTTGTTAATTTAATTAAACAAGGAGGCCATTCAGCTGATGTGGCTCTCATGCCGAGGAGGCCTACAGAGACAAACCAAAATCAAACCCTGTAAATGCCTCCAGATTAGGAAGCCAAAACGCTAAGGTCAACTAATCAGACAGCCAACGAGGCTTTAAGCTCTAGCCAATCAAATCCTTTCTTTTCTTTGCTTCTGCACCTTCTCTATATAAGTCCTTTCTCTGGCTCCTGTCCTGGGGAGCTCCTAACCACTTCTGGTTTGGCGCACTTCAACTGAAATTGATTTTTGCTCAAATAAACTCTTGACATTTAAAAATGTGCCTCAGTTTATCTTTTAAAAATATGCAGGTATGAATTTGGGTCTTTAGAAGTCTGATCACTGAGGGAATACTTGGAGCCTCTTTGGAGAGCAGGTTTGAAAGTGTGTCACTGAAGAATTTAAACTGTTCAAGTGGGATCAGTATTGTTGGTAGAAAGGAAGAAAATAGGGTGATTTTGAGTTTGCTCAAGATATCTCATTTCCTGTAGCTTCTAGTGTTACCGAACCAAACTTGGGTCCTGTTTGCCCATGTGCAGGAAAGCCAATCTACTGACACTGGGTTGTGATGAAGGAAAGTGTGGCATTTATTGTAAGGCATCACACAAGGAGTCTGGGGCAGCTAATGCTCAAAAAGCCCAAACTCCAGACTTCCCTGGTGGTCCAGTGGTTAAGACCCTATGCTTCCACCACAGGGTGCACGGGTTCGATCCCTGGTCGGGGAACTAAGATCCCACGTGCTGTGCAACGCAGCCAAAAAATAAATTAATTAATTTAAAAAAATTTAAAAAAAGAGCTGATTAGTAAAAAAAAAAAAAAAAAAAAAAAAAAAATGTTGTTTAAAAAAAAAAAAAGCCCAAACTCCTTGATGGGTTTCAAGGAGGCACTTTTAAAGGCCAGGTGAGGGAGAGGAGTTGCAGGGTGTGTGATCAGCTTGCGTGCACAATTATCCGAATGGCTGATGGTGAGGTAACAGGGTGGTGTCACAGGGGTTAACATTATCAGTCCTCAGACTCCAGCAGGTCTGGGGGGCTACATGCTCATGGTCCTCTGGTAGTTAACTTCTTTCATTTAGTGGGGGTTTTATTTTATTTTATTTTTTTGTCCATGCTGCTTGCGGGATCTTAGTTCCCTGACCAGGGATCGAACCCATGCCCCCTGCAGTAGAAGCACAGAGCCCTAAGCACTGGACTGCCAGGGAGTTCCCTTGGTGAGGTTTTAGCATCTGTAAAACAACTCAGGAAATGTGCATCAGATATTGTTATTAGGTACTTCAGAAAGCAGCTACAGCAGAGGACATGGGGGGAGGGGTCTGTCCAAGGAAGGCCCTATAGAGTCCTGCTTTGTTCCACTAGCAGTATACAAAAAAAGGGAGGGGCGTAGAAGGTGATTTTTAAGGCCTCTATCTCAGTCTCTGACTTTCCAGAAAAACTTGCTTCAGAAAAAGGAAGACGTAGAGCAGCCACATTCCTGGGATTCAAAACAGCTTGTGTGTCTGCAAGCCTGGACTGTGCCTCTGAAAGTAAGAGTGGGTGTTATGGGTTGAATTGTACCAAAAGATATGTTTAACTTCTAACCTTGTACTTGTGACTTTATTTGGAAGTAGGGTCTTGCAGATGGAATCTTGATGAGTTTATACTGGATTAGGGCGGGCCCTAATCCAATATGACCGGTTTCATATGAAGAGGGGAAATTTGGACAGAGGCACACATAGAGAGGAGAACGTTCACTCCACAAATGTAGCAAAGAAATAAACCAGTTTTATTATTGAATATGCACTGAACCAGACTCTAATGCAAATCACAGGCAATCCTCTAATGAGATTGCAAGGTGAGAACACTCACCCTTGCAAACAGCCAAGTATATATGATCCATTCCATACATGTTCTCGAGATAAATAATAACTAGTCCCCATGTAAGAGGACTTCGGCAGCACCGTTTATTATACAGTCTTTCATAGTTCATCCTAAATTTACTTGGTAACTGGCTTGGCTGCCTGTGTTAGCTAACTGCCATTATCTGAAAGGAAAACAAAACTTTTCAATCTTTGTGACTTTCAGCTTGGAATGAGGTGTTTTAGGTTAAATTCCCATGGTGACAGGGAGACAGGGGGCGCTATCTTCCTTCATGTTTACAAAGAGGTGGCTCCCTAGGCCCTAAGAAAAGTTCCTGGGTTGTAAAACAGGCAAGAGGCTCGTTTAGCTGTTCAAAAGATTTATATACATATCAGGGTGATGAGGAAGGATTTACAAATACAAGCTTTCTCAAGGAAATACCCTGGGCAAAGGAAAGTCTCTTTCCTTTTTGTCAAGAGGGAAAATCCAGTCTTCTTTACACTTACACACACCTTTCCTTATGGGCAAAATAAATGTTCTATGGAAGAATTCACCTGTGAAGAGTCAATAAAGAGGAGGCCAAGATATCTTTATGAGAATGTGTTGGTGGTTCCAGGAGGCCAGGGAGGAGACATGTTGGTTCCTCTGGGGGCATCTATTTCTCTTCTTGAAGGATAGCAGAGATGTGGGAGTAGGAGTGATACTGGCAGAAGTACCCATCAGGCAAAGGATTCCTGGTAGGGAGAAATGGGAGAAATTGCCCTCTCACTTGGATGCCACTGTCCTACTCTGCCCTTTATGGTGGGCAGAAGGGAACCACAGAGTCCTCTGGGTCTGTTGGCACTAAGGATAAAGAGGGCATAACTGGGGACTTCCCTGGCGGTCCAGTGGTTAAGACTTCGCCTTCCAATGCAGGGGGGTGGGGGTTTGATCCCTGGTTGGGGAGCTAAGGTCCCACATGCCTTGCGGCCAAAAAACCAAAAACATAAAACAGAAGCAATATTGTAACAAATTCAATAAAGACTTTAAAAATAGTCCATATCAAAAAAAAATCTTTAAAAGAAAAAAGAGGGCATAACTGGATAGTGGTGTAAAAATTAAGCACACACTGCTGCCTTAACAACCAATAACAGCTGCTCATCAGTGGTATGAAGCCTCTGCGAAGCATTCCCTGTGCCTAGTACTGAGCTCCCTAGGTGGACACAGTGTGTGAGAAGGACAGTCTCCAAGGGAAGTCATCCCCAGAAGGGGAAAGTGAAATACTTTTCCAGGACCAGGCTCACCTTTTTCATCCTTGGAGATTTGGGGGATCAAACATTTCACCACTCTGGGTCTGGTACCAACTTCCCCCTGCCAGCAGAGAAGAGAATTGGGCATCATTTGGGCAGATTGCTGATTTGTAAGGCAACAGTCTTGTCAGCAGAGGAGTGATACTTTCACTAAAAGGTCTCAGCAGATATAATGGCAGGACAGACCAGGAGTGTGACCTAACTCAGGCTCTCTCAGAGAGAGAGCCATTGGGCCCTCTCTGTTTCAAGGGAGAATTCTGATCTTACTGAGAGGGTACAGGCATTCAGGGGCTGAGCTGTCCCGTAAGTTTAAAATGCATTCTCCCAAACCTCACACTCTTGCAGTTCAAACACATCACTGGTAGTTAAAGCCGAACTGCTACATTATAACTAATTTGCCAGCATCCAGCTTTATATTGAATACTTTAACTAAATTAGCCTGTTAACTACAGAAAGTCTTACTACAGTACATAGTTTAGAAAACACTCCCAATCGCCCCTGCTCAACTGGAAGGGAAAGACCGTTTGTTTGGTAAGGCAAGTAACACCGTCAGGTAGTGGTGCTCCACTGGGCAATTCCTGCCTTTGCAAATTACACACTTTAGTTGGTAATTTTGAGACTCCCAAATACGCTATAAAACTTTGCTCCAGAAGTGTACAAACAAAACTCATAAAAAATGTTTTGAGATTAATTTCATATGTTTCATGGATCCCCAGAAGTACTCCCACAAAGAGAAATTCCTCATTCCTGGTGCTCCAATCTCTCGCTCTTAGAATTTCTCTAAAGCTTGTTCCCCTAATCCACGTCAGGAAGAACTTTCCAAATTCCCAATCAAACGCAGATCCTGCCGGGACATCAAATTTGGCCGAAAAAGGGCTATCAGGTTCTTGAGCTACGACGGCGGTGGAATGGCCCCCTTCGTCAGTAAAACAGATGCCTTTATGGAATCTGCGGACCAGTCTACGTGTGGAAAGAGGATTTGTTTCCTTTCACTCTCTGGGGTTTCCATCGGCAGTCTATGGGAAATGAATACAAGTGCGACTTCTGGTTCCCAATACTACGGCAGCTGCGCATGTGCAAAGCCGCCCTGAGAGCGCTTTGGGTCTGGGCAGGGCGGGGCGGGGCGAGGGAAGACCCGCCCCTCCCATTCGCCTTGGCCTTAACTCCTTCCTATCCGTCCGCCAGCGTCTCTTTCTTCACCTCTGACCTCGGAAAGAAGGGGGTGGGGCTTTTGGGGCGGAAGTAGCGGTGCATTGTGGGCTCGCTTAGAGTTGAGCCTGAATGGAAGTGGCGCGACGGTGCTGACGTTACCGGGTCCGGGCTGTTGGGGTTCGGACGCCGGCCGGGATTCGGGTACCTCGACCTCGGGAGCAGAGCGGAGCGCGAGGAAGAGGCGGCGGCGGCGGCGCTGCGAGTTGGTGGAGGGGGCGGCTGTGCACGGCCCCAAGACATGGCTCACAACAAGATTCCCCCGCGGTGGCTAAACTGTCCGCGGCGCGGCCAGCCGGTGGCAGGTAACCGGGACGGGGGGTGTTCGAGTCCCCGCGCACCGGCGGGTCCGGGGGTGGGCTGAGTGGGGCGCAGCTTTTCGGTAGTGGTGTTTCAGGACCGAGACGTGCTCGGTCCGATGAAGCTTCGTGGATGAGTGTTTGGGAACCTGGACTGGAGGGAGTGGGGGCACTTCTCACTCTTCAGTAAGGCTAAATATTGCGAACGGGGAGGTAGATAGGAGCTCTGTGTGGCAGGAGCCGAGAACCCAAGAACCCAGTGGGTAATAATACTTTGAAGCTTAGTCAGGAGTTTGTAAACCTTTGAGGGTTCTCGGAAGGGGAAGGGACAAGTGTCGGTTTTGAGAGGAAGGCTAAAGGGAGGGGCAGTTTCCAGCGGTGAAATTCATCCACACTGAGAGTGGAGGTTTTTGTTTTGTTTTTTAAATGATTCTTAATTGAGGACTTTTTCATCTTTGAGTTTGACACAACAGACTTTAAGGTGTACAGTTTGAAAGTGTACAGTTTGATACATTTGGACCACAGGCGCACACACACACCCTGTGAAACACAATTAAGATAGTAAACACAATCATCACCACTCCAGGTTTCCTCCTGCCCTTTGTAATCCCTCCCTCCCTCAGGCAACCAGTGATTTGCTTTCTGTCACTATAGATTTAGTTTGCATTTTGTATAATTTTTAAAATAAATGGAAACACACTCTTTTTGGGGGGGGAGGTCTCTGGCTTCTTTAACTCAGCATTATTTTTTGAGATTTTCACGCTGTGCTTGTACGTATCAATAGCCCATCTCTGTTTACTGCCGAGTAGTATTCCACTGTTATGGATACACCAGTTTAAATTGGTTTGTCCATTCACTTGTTGATGGTCCTTTGGGTTGTTTCCAGTTTTTGGCTGTTGCATACTAACTTGCTATGAATATTCATGTGCAGTTCTTTGTAGGACATATGCTTTCATTTCCCCTGTGTAAATCTCTAGGAGAGGAATGCATCACATGGTAGGTGTAAGTTTAACCTTTTAAAAAACTGCCAGACTCTTTTTCAAGTCATAACATTTTGCATTCCCGCCATCAATTATGAGAATTCTGTTTGCTCCACATCCTCTCTAACACTTGATTTGATCAGTCTTTTTAATTTTACCCATTCTAATAGGTGCTTAGTACTATCTTACTGTGGTTTGATGTTGAGCATCTTTTCATGTGCTTCCTGGCAATTCACATACCTTCTTTTGCAAAGTGTCCAAATCTTTTGCTGATTTTTAAAATTTGGTTGTTTATTTTATTTTTGAGTTGTTAGTGTTCTTTATGTATTGTAAATACAAATCCTTTGTTGAATATATGCTTTTAAAAGTCTTTTCTCCCATCTGTGGCTTGCCTTTTCATTCTCTTAAAAGTTTCTTTTGAAGAGTTAAAGTTTTAAATTTTAACTAACTCCAACTTAATGCTTTTTCTAGAAGGTGTTTTGAAACAAAATTAAAGGATTTTGTAGTGAGCTATGCATACTTACTAATTATGTACACAGCAATAATATGTCTGCCTAGTTAATTAATTATTTTAAATTTTATTTATTTATTTTTGGCTGCGTTGGGTCTTTGTTGCTGCGCGCGGGCTTTCTCTAGTTGTGGCTAGTGGGGATTATTCTTCTTGCAGTATGCGGGCTTCTCATTGTGGTGGCCTCTCCTGTGGCAGAGCACAGGCTCCAGCTGTGCGGGCTTCAGCAGTTGTGGCACACGGGCCCAGCAGTTGCAGCTCCAGGACTCCAGAGCACAGGCTCAGTAGTTGTGGTGAACGGGCCTAGTTGCTCTGCGGCATGTGGGATCCTCCCGGACCAGGGCTCGAACCCGTGTCCCCTGCATTGGCAGGCGGATTCTTAACTACTGCACCACAAGGGAAGTCCCAGCCTAGTTATTTTAAGTTGTTGGAAGAGAAGATTCTCTAGTCATTTTTTAATTCAGGTTTTCTGGTTCTTCTAGTTTGTCAGCTTTTCTTCACATTTTATATAAAATTCTCAGTTAATAAAGCCATATAAATGATGGATAAAAGATAATCTAAAAAAAAAAAGATAATCTGAGCAAGCCTTGGGGTGAGGAAATGGTTTTCCTTAACAAAAATGAATAATTTTTTTTACGTTCTAACCATTTTTATATGATTTTCACTTGTGCTTGATAGTCATTGTACTGTCTTCAGATGAATTGATTACAATTCATCTCACTCTTCAGACATTTTGACGTTTTTTCCCTTGGCATCTCTAACTTACTGTTGAATCCTTTCTTTTTACATGTGGCCTTTTCTATGGAGTTATGAAGAAACCTCTAAACTTAGATGTCTAGCTTCTTTTTTAACCTGGAGCATGTTTCCTGGATCCTTTCATTAGTTACCTGCTGCACTGATTTGTGAGAAAAACAAAATCATAAAGAAGGTCTTGTCCCAGTGAATATTTTTTATTTGGAATTAGGAAAACAGTTTTAAAATCAGAATTTTAATATAATCTGCAGATGGCAATGACAAATATCAGAATACTGACTTTTTCCTAGATGAATGGGGCAAATGTGGTACTGACTGGGGGCGGACAGCAGCAGATAAGGTGCTAAGCTCCAGGCAGCTTAATACTTCTGTAAGAAATAGAGTTGTGTGCTTTTTTTTCTCCCTCTCCTGGAGATGAAGGGTCAGGAATAAAAAGTTTTTCCTTTTTTGTTGTATTACAGTATTTTGACCCCCAAAACATAGACTCTTAATTACTGTGATCAGTGAGTCACTAAGCTCACCTAATCTGAGCAGTTGCGGGCCCTGAACAGAACCCCAGGCCTCCTGACAACCAAACTGAATCTTTACTGGTAATCAATTCTTTGGCTTGGCTTTGTGATCCTTACTAGAAAGTAAGGTGAATACAACATAAAATTCTTGATAAGTCTTTCTGAATTTCCCTTAAAATTTGATCTCTCTAACATTTCTGTCCTAGAAGTGTTCATGACACATCGTGTATTTCGGATAATGTAGGGTTGGCAGTGTTTTATAGTGGTAGAATAAGAAATGCTAGCTATATTCTTGCAAGCGTTAGAGAAAAATAAGGAATCATTCACATTCCCAGTTTCTACCTGCTATTTTCTTCCTCTTTTTTGTTCTGATTAGAAAAGTAATTTATGCTTATTGTATAATTTCTTTGATATTTTGCATATTTAGGAAAATGTGTTATGACTGCTTAAATTTTCTCATTGTAAACATTAGGATGAATCTTATTAGTACTAGAAGTTCATAATTTTTCTGAATCAGAAAGAAGATGGTGCTAATTATAAATAGTAATTTGTCCCACGCTGAAGTCACCTTCTCTAATTAAACCAGACTTCTAGTCAGAGAGTGAGTACCTGGAGATAGGGCCAAGCTTTATTTCTGAAGAATTCTTTTTTCCTGCTTCTGAGTGATAGATTTCAGGTGAACACTTTGAAGAAAACAAACTTCTGATTATTCAACATAAAATTGTTTTGTATGTACTATATATAAAGAACCTCCTGGGAACTAACTGGGGGACTATAAATATGATTCAGTCTTATGATAATAGTGATGACTTTGAAGACATTTTACTTAGCAAATATTTGTATATACTTTGTGCTGGTTTTTGGGACTTGGGAGATGATTAAGATATAGTCCCCCACCTTAAAGAGCATACAATTCTGTGAGTAGCAAACCATCATTTTTAAACACAGTTCTGTTTTAACAAGGTCAATAATGACTCTATTATAGAATATTATGGGATACTAGAGATAATAAACCTTTTTTTCTTTTCTTTTTATTATTATTATTATTATTTTTTTCTCGGAGAGATAATAAACCTTGATGTTAGGGAAGAAGAAGGGGATCAGGAAGGCTTCCCAGAGGGAGGTATATATGAATTAACATGAATAAATAGAAGTTTGCTAGATAGAGTGTGAGTGTTGCTGTTTTGTTTTGTTTTGTTTTGTTTTTTGCGGTACGCGGGCCTCTCACTGTTGTGGCCTCTCCCGTTGCGGAGCAACAGGCTCCGGATGCGCAGGCTCAGCGGCCATGGCTCATGGGCCCAGCCGCTCCGCGGTATGTGGGATCTTCCCGGACCAGGGCACGAACCCGTGTCCCCTGCATCGGCAGGCGGACTCTCAACCACTGCGCCACCAGGGAAGTCCTGTTTTTTTGTTTTTTTGAAGGTCTTCTGTTGGGATAGTTTGATGGTGGAGAGATTTCAGACTGAAAGTGAGGATATGGATGTGAGGGTGGAGAGTATGAGCCAGATCGTATAAGCTTACGGTGTGATAAGGGGTTTTAATATTTATATACTTTCACAGTGCACTGGCAAACCATTGCCATTTCTTAAGCATTGGGGTCAGATGATTTGACTTCAGTTTAAAGAAGCTTACTTTGATTGCGCTGTGTTTAATGAAAGAGACAAGGGTGAAAGTGGGGAGGTTAGTTAGGAACTTGTCATGGTAGTTCAAGTGAAAGATAATGGTGACGGTTTAGAAGTAGAGTTGAAGAGTAGTAGGCTGATTTGAGAGATATTAAAGAGGGA